ATCTGTAATATCCCTTCTCCTTTGCCATCTGATGTAACACAATCACAGGATTGAGATTACAATGCTTTTGCCATATTCTATTGGCTACAGGCAGGTCACAGTTTCACCCACACTCAAGGGAAGAGATTACAAAAGGCTCTGACTCATTGAAGGTCACCCTAGGGTGTATCCAACACAGGAGGTAAATAAATAAAATATTGAACAACTAGAAAAAACAAACCTGAAACATTCACTATCTGTGATGTTGTCAATGTTTCAGATTAGCAACTTGAAGGAAAACATGGTGTATCAGTTCCAAGTGGCAGCCATGAACATTGCTGGGTTGGGAGTGCCCTCTGCAGTAAGCAAGTGCTTCACCTGCGAAGAGTGGACCATTGCCGTTCCAGGTAACCACGGAAACCACATCTCAGCACTGGAGCTCAGAGTTTCTTCCAACAGAACCTACAGCTTGGAACTAAATAGAAGTACTATATAGACAACGTTTAAGGGAAAAGAATTCTCTTGGCCCCTTATGTTCACCTAAAATATTTTTATGATAATATTTAATAATAGGCGGCAGTATAAAACTGAGTACTAATTACTTATGCTGTGTTCCAAATAAATCCTAGAGCCCCCATAGCTCAGGCTCTACATGGATTAGGATTGGCAGAAGCACACATTCTGAATGCCAAATGAGCATTACAAAAAGGAATTCCAATCTTTGCTTTTGCTTCTTAAAGGCTATTAAAGGGTGTCCAATTCATATCCCACAGCAAAATTTTTCAAAAAATCTTACTGCACTCCCTAGTTCTTACGTGTTCTCCCAATGCTCTGAATGCTCTCATTGATCAGCCCCCCAAAATCTCTCTCTGCAGACCCAGCCCACGTGGCTTTTCTTCCTTGTACTCTCTCCTCCTCCCTCTCTTCCAGCTCTTCATCATATCACACCGATGGATTTCACGTGCCTGCCTGGGGCTTTGTTTGGTCCAGCTTCTCTCCACTTGCCTCTCTTCACTTACTTCAGTCTTTTCTCCCTCTCTACACATTTTCCAAACTCTGCACCACAAGAAAGATCTTGGAAACTGGCTGGCAAATAATTTCATTCAGAGGATGTCATAGGGGGTGTTTGGGTGGGCAGGGAAGAAAATAGGAAGTAGACAGGAAAACTTACCTATGCTTATAACTCTTACAGAGGTATAAAACCAAGAAAATTTAAATGTAGAGTGCAAACAACTTAACTAAGCCATTATGATTCAAACTAGCAACATTAATGGATTTGGTGGATGATTTTATTTTGCTTCCACTGGTACTGACTTCAGAGACGCCAATACTTTGCCACAGGATGACTAAATTCTCCTACCCAGGTTTGATATTCAACGTATTCAACAACTGGTGTGGCACCACCACTGACCACATGAGAGCCCCAGGCCATACTGGGACATCCTGGGTGTCCCCGACGCCACTGCCACTCCCTTCCTCTGTTTGAAAGTTTGAAAAACCATCCCATTGCCTTCACTTAGGGAATGTCCATCTGTATCGCTTCTCTGTCAAGTGTCAATAAAAAGATTACAGGAGGAACTCAAGAGGAGTTCAAGTACTTACTCAACTTCAGCAAATAAAAAGAGGCAAACACACCACCTTTCCTTGCACCTCCTGGANTGGGACATCCTGGGTGTCCCCGACGCCACTGCCACTCCCTTCCTCTGTTTGAAAGTTTGAAGAACCATCCTGTTGCCTTCACTTAGGGAATGTCCATCTGTATCGCTTCTCTGTCAAGTGTCAATAAAAAGATTACAGGAGGAACTCAAGAGGAGTTCAAGTGCTTACTCAACTTCAGCAAATAAAAAGAGGCAAACACACCACCTTTCCTTGCACCTCCTGGAAGCAAGTTGATATTTCTTAAATTATTTCTGACACTTGCATAAAAGTGGATCTGTTTTCAAGTTCTTGCAATTCCTAAGTAAAGTTAAATGAGAGTGACTAGAGACTGAGAAATTCTGAGCAGGCCTGTGGAAAACGTTTCAGTAGAAAGTGATGATGTTGACCAAAAGGTTGCAGGGTTGAAGAAACAAATTGGGCCATCCTCCATCCTCCTGTAGTTTGGACTCTTCCAAGAATACTAAAAGTACATTTTGGCTTTCCCCCTTCAGGGGGTTAGCAAGTTACTTGGCTTCTCTGAGCTTTCTGTTCACTGTCTTAAGGATGAAAGAGGTAAATGAATATAAAGAACCAGGCAGTATTCAGCACAGATTCACAGCCCTGGGG